ACATTTTCAACTTTCAAACCTTTTCTGGAAGCATTCTCTGTCTCTTCCAAATTACAACATCAGCTGGCTGGGATACTCTTCTGGCCCCTTTGTTAAGTGAATCTGGTACATGTGCTCCAAATTTAGATTTAGAAGAGGAAGATAAAACTAACTGCAGCAATAGAATATTTGGAATTTTTTATTTTGTAAGCTATGTCATTATAAATTTTCTCATTCTTGTAAATATATACATAGCTGTCATTTTAGAGAACTTAAATGTTGCCACTGAAGAAAGCACAGATCTTCTTTGTGAGGAGGACTTTGATATGTTTTATGAGACCTGGGGAAAATTTAATCCTCTGGCAACACAGTTTATTGACTATTCTGCTCTTTCAGACTTTGCAGATGCTCTGGCAGAACCCTTGCGCATTCCAAAGCCCAATAGCATCCAGCTCATATCCATGGACCTCCCTCTAGTGAGTGGAGATAGGATCCACTGCTTGGATATCTTGCTTGCTTTCAGTAAACGAGTCTTGGGAGAATGTGGAGATTTTGATACAATTAAATTACTCATTGAAGAAAAATTTGTGGCTGCCAATCCATCTAAAAGTTCTCATAGGCCAATTTCTTCTACATTTAAGAGAAAACAAGAGGAGGTATCAGCAGTTATTATCCAAAGGGCCTTCAGGAGGTATTTGATACAGCGTTCTTTCAAAAATACATCTTTCTTAAGCCGTCACAGACAGAACAGTGCTGTCTTTGGAGAAGAAACGCGGGAGAACCAAAGGCTTATTGTATCAATGCTTGATGAAAATAGTGGCAGGAAGATACATAAATCACGGCCTGGTTCTTCCACATCTCTCCCTTGACTTTATGATGCTGTTGCTGACACAAATAAGCTGGACACATAAGGTTACCTCAGGCCGCAGCATTTCTGACATTTAAAGCAAAGTCACTGATTTTCAGATGGAGACAATATGTGAATCCCAGAGCATAATACTCTAAATTTAGAATAATGATGGCAGCCTTTAAGTATTCTGATTGTTCAAATTTGCAAATTCGCCTTAAAATGATTAAGATCTGAACAACTATATCATAAATATTGGAGGAAAATCAAACCATAGAACTTTTTTCTCCGCTACTGGAGTAGATGGGTTAATATTTTCACCTGCCAGTTTTGTCTTAGTTCATGTGTTTACAGAAGAAATCCATAAATGGTCGGTTGTAAGCACAGATTTATAAACACACAAGGCTCTAGAATAATGTGTATCTCTTTAGAGATTATCAGTATTTCCAACTAGGTTTTATTGTAGCAAAATGAATAATTACCGCACTTCTGTAATAGAGCTTGTTCAGGACACTCGAGTATAATCAGCCTCTAATTTTGATGGTTTTGGGATCATCCTCCTCCTAGCATGTTTTGGTGGATTTGTTTATGCTTAAGAATTTTGGAGGTGTCTTTATATGTGCACCTAGGATTTACCAGATCATCCTCAGTTGCCTGTGCATAAAAGTTGTATATAATTTGTTCTTTGTCTCAGTGTATGAAAATTTTCATAATCATAGTTACCAAAATCAAAGGATGTTATACAAGGGGTATTGCTTCCAGAAAATCTTGAGAATCATTGTACATAAATTTTCATCATCATCCAAATGTCATAGAAAGCATTACTTAGTATTCTGAAAAGGAGTTCATGGTATATCTTATGAGACAGCATTTAATAAAAGCTAAGGGAAGCATTTATTTGATTGATTCTGAAAAAAAATGCATGAACAATGTGTAGTAATATTTTAGTGATTCTTTTGCAGTTTATGTTATTCAGCTGAAGTGTCATGGTGGATTCAGAACCACTAATAAAATACGACTGGTTTATATTCCTCAATAAAGAGTTCAGATGCTTAATATGTTTTTTGTCTGTTTTGTAAGGAGTATCTTCAGTTTCATTTATTACAAGACATAATCTGTTCTTAGAGGGGTAATACAATTTTCCAGAAGTAGCTACCTATTATCACAAGAAATCAAAATGTTTCACTTTTTGCAGGGAATCAGAAAAGATTTATCATTTTGAGGCCAAGAAGAGCAGGAACAGTAAGGTAATTACTCAATTTTTACTGTAGTTTCCTGTGTTAAATACTATTAAATATGACAGATATTGTTAAATCTAAGTTAATTTCAGGACAAATAAAGACATAGGAAAGCTAAGAGTTTAAGAGTCCAGATACAGTATGATTTGAATGGGCTTTATTATGGTTGAGCATCGACTCCCCAGGGAACTGGTGGACTCACCATCCCAGGAAATGGGACCTCTTAGCATAACTCAGGAATTTGCCCTTGGGAGCTGCCACACTGGGCAGAGGGATTCAGAGATGTTTGGTGGCTCTGCTTGAGACCTGCTCCTGTGCAGCTTGTGTTGTTTCATGCAGAGTGATGCTTGTGAGGTGAAACTCTTCATTTTGTTCTTTGAGAGCTGGACTGAGCCGACAGCTTTTGTTCAGTGATCAGGTACCATTGGATGGCAGCATTTAGTGTAGTTTAAAATGTGGTCAATCTTCGGTGAATGAGGTGTCACACTTACACACTTCTGCCCGGGGCATTAAATTGATTGCAAAAACTTTAGAAAAAAGTCACGGACCACCACTTCCTTCACAGAAGCAGAGGGGAGTGGGTTAAGGCAGGCACCTGCCAAAGAAGCAAATGGTGGGCTGTATCCACAAGGTCATATGTAACAGCTGCCTCCCAAATACTATATGAGTTTTGAGCAGGCAGACATGGCCAAGGTGTTTTTATCTTCCTGCCCTGGCAGCTGAGGGCCGCCGCTTACCCCCTCCTTGACCAAAATGGAACACTGGCAGATAATCATCTCTGCCCGAGTAGCACTCAAAACAGATCCATCAAAAGGGCCAACACACACCAGAAAAACAAAACAAACTAGACAGTCCTTCTCAGTGTCAGAAGCCTGGCAAGTCTGGGGCTGGGGTCACCAACCCCTGCGGCCCAAGGATGGGCCCCACAGCAACTCAGCAGCCCAGTGCCCCCACACCGGTCGCCACCAGGAGAGACAGCTCCAAAACAGCTGCGGGGGAAGGAGGGGGGAGTAAAACTTCCCGTACACAAAAGCCCCATCTCCGTCCTGACTGTTTCAAAGCCTCTTGGGAACGCGCCTTTGCAGTCCGCACCACCCCACTGAGCAAAAGTGGCCTCATCGGAGGTCAGGCTTGCACTAGGCCAGTGTCTGCTGGCCTAGGCCTACAGTCAAATTCAGAGTCCAAAGACTCGGTCAAAACACTTCCATCCCACCTCCCTGGACCCCCAGAGGGATCCGTAAGGGCAAAAGCTCGGGTAGGCAAGACTGTACCTGCACCCTGTTCCATTGGCTGCGTGCCAGCGGTGCGGGACACCAAAAGCTCCAGCTCCCGACCGTGCTGGCCAAAAGCCTCTAACGCTGCATGTTCCAAGCATCACGAATGCTCCAGGCCATCGATTTGCTGCTCCTGGGCTGCTACTTGGCCCCACAAAGACATAATCTCCTGGTCCAGGGCTCCAAATCCGGTCAGCAGAACCCATCCCACCTGGCCCGCCCCCGTCACAGACCTCATGGCAAGCCAGGCTACCAGGAGAGACACTGTGGTGAAAAAGGCAGCTACAGAGGCTGAAGATGTCTCATGACACAGGGGGCCGGTGACATGGCCCCGCCAGCCCTTGATCTCCTCTGCAACCACTGCAGGGTTACTCTGGGGAACTGCCAATTCTACACCAAAAATGTAAGGTAAACATACTCATGTATTCTTCCCAAGAATTCCAAGGCAGTGGAAGGATTTAAAAAAAGGTTTATTTCCAATACAAGAACCAGTTTTTTACGATGTGGCGCATCAGGCCTCCCAGGAAAAATGGTGAGTTCCCACCCCCTCAGGACCCCTTTTATCCTCTCTGTGTTTACTCTGCCTTCCCAAGGCCTCTGTGTATGTCAGGACTATCTCCTCTCACGTATCAGAGAGAAAGGCTCAGAACTTCTCTTGCTATGCAGGGGGGAAAAGCATTGAAACTGCCTTGGAGAAAGAATTACTATTTAGGTAGAAAGCCTTCCTAGCAAAAACTGACTTTCTAACTTTCCGTCACAAATTGTTCCAAAATTGTATCTATCCCTACATATATCTTCATCAATGTGCACCCTCAGTAGACTTGCAGATGACACCAAGCTGAGTGGTGCAGTTACCACTCCAAAAGGATGGAATGCCATCCAGAGGGACCTGGATAAGCTCTAGAAGTGGGCCCATGTGAACCTTATGAGGTTTAACAACGGCAAGTGGAAGGTGCTGTGCCTGGATTGGGGCAATGCCCGGTATCAATCCAGGCTGGGGGATGAATGGATCAAGAACAGCCCTCTGGAGAAGGACTTGGGGGTGCTGGTGGGTGAGAGGCTGAACATGAGCCATCAATGTGCACTCACAGCAGAGATCTGATTCTGGCCTTCCAGTGGCTGAAGGGAGCCGACAGGAAAGATGGAGAGGGACTAATTACAAGTAGTGCCATGTAGTGACAGGACAAGTGATGACAAGGGGGAATGGTTTCAAACTGACAGAGGGAAGGTTTAGATTAGATATTAGGAAGAAATTCTCCCCTGTGAGGCTCTGATACAGGTTGCCCAGGAAAGCTCTGGATGCCCCATCCCTGGAAATATTCAAGGCCAGGTTGAGTGGGACTCCAAGGAACCTGGTGTAGTGAAAGGGGCAGGAGGGTTGGCACTAGGTGATCTTTAAAGTCTCTTCCTGCCCAAAACCATTCTGTGATTCTGTGGGGTTTTTTGTTGGTTTTTAATTTGTAAAGCTGTTTGGTATTACATAGTTTTTACAAGTTGCATTCTTGTCATTTGATGTTTAGACTTTAACTTTACGGGAAGCTACAGTAACGAAAAGGTTTGCAACCAAGGTTTGCAAACCAAATATAAGTGGGCTCTTATATTTGTCATTTCATTGTTGTGTTATGTTGGGAGCCATGCAATAAAAGGTGAGACCTCATAAACTCTCTTAGCAAGACTGTAAGAAATGCTGAAAATCTTTCAGTGATTGTAGGAGCAATATTTTGCTTTTAGCATCTTACTCTTGAGAAATGAAAAAGCTTCAAGAATACTAATACTGTTTTTCAGAACACTAAGAAGGAACAGAGGGAATAACTTGAATTTCAGGCACTGACATAATTTTCAGACTTCTTCAGTGTACATTAGATCATTAGGCAGAGAGCTACTTTGTGTAACAATGCATTTAATGTGTGCTTCCCATAAAAGCTATTTCCTGTTGTTCTGTAAAGTCAATTAGCTATTTACCAAATACCAAATTTCATGTCTGTGTGATTTCTTATTTCATTGCGGAGCATGAAAAAAGAGGAAATGTCAAACATGCAAATTAGTGTCTGGACAAATACATCGTGTACTTTACACACACAGATTCTTTCCTAAGACAGTCTGGGGTGCACCTTTTGTTTATCTTACAGATATTTGTTTGCCAGAACTCCTCATTTTTTTCTGTGACAGACTCATGCCTTTAGATATTTTGCATGATATTAGTTTCTCTGTGTGTTATTTTTGGTTTTATTGTGTACGTAATATTTAGTTATTCTGTGTTCCAAGTGTAACAAAGAAGATGGATTTCCCCACTCCTTTTCTTGTTTTTTTTTGTTTGTTTTTTTTTTTTACCTGGTGTCCTGGAATCTCATCTAGGTCTTGCAATTAGTCAGCCTTGAAATTAAGGAGAATCCCAAAGCTTCTGGCCAGCCATTGAATTAATTCAGCCCATGAAGAATGCATTTGAGGTTGTACTGGAATAAATGTGTGTGCATTACTTAGAAATCACTCTTAATGGGATCTGCCAGAGGTTATAGTGTTTCCCAAATTGCGGGAATGGAATTCCCTGTATGCCAGATTAGGTTAGGGATAGGAAGGAAGATTGCAAATTCTCTGAAGTTGCAGCTGCAGTAAACAGAAATCTCTGCAAATAATTTTCATGGCAAGTGTATCCAATGCAAATGCTTGAATTACCAAAGAGTATGAAATTTTATTGCTGTGCAGTGAAGTTCCTTCATGACATACATTTGTAAGAAATATCATTTTTGAGCTGGAAGCATCAGAGTTAACAACTGTTACAGTGCTCCAGATCTGTGTTATAAAGAATTATTTCCCTATGCAAATTGACTACGACTTCCCTGTGTACATATGTGTTCATATATATGCATATAGAGCCAGGTGGGGATGCAAAAACAAAGGTCTAAGGTGATGTGACACTGATGGTTTTGAGTTTTTGAGAAGGTCACAAGTGTTCACAAGTTGTTTTGGTAGCTAATGGTCCATCCTGTTAAATACTTGTTCCATTTTTTGGTCCACATTTGATGGGTTTTAACTTCAACTTGAAGACCCACTGAGCGTTAGAGCTCTCATTCATCTGTAAGTCTTTATGATTTTCTTTTGAGAAAATCTGTCTGTCATGCAATCAGTTGTTCAGGTTTACAACATGTAAACGGTTCCTCCTGTGTTTTGTGTGATTTTCTCTGTGAGCAGTGATTTAAATTTGGTGGTTTTAATGGAGGATCATTGTCATCACTGTGTTTGTCTCAGACTCACTTGTGGTCAGTGCTTGTCTAATGGACACCGAACCATAACCAGAAGGTGCAATAAACTCTGTAATTAACAGTCATGATCTGTCTCTGTGAGACTCTTGACCTAAATTAAAACACTCAGAAAGATATTTATTTGAAATTCAATAGAATTCTTCATGAGTGGATGACATGATCTAGTTGTAGATAGCATGACTTTGTTTTGCAGCATCCATTCCTTGAAAATATGAAATGTCTTTCTCAGGCTTCGGTAATTTTCCTTT